TTTTTTTTTTGCGAGTGGATTTCTTCAGCTGGTTTTGATAGATCTAAGATTTGGAATTTTCTGTTGAGGCGATTTATTTTTGTGTTAGTAGAATGTGTGTCTGATGGGCGTGTAAGATGAAGCTAATGCGGTTTCTTTGCTCTCTCGGCAGATATGATCTTAAGCTGAACAATGCGATCCTGGCCGAGGAGAAGCACTTACCTATGTGAGTAGTTCTGTAATCTTTTCCTTTGATTTGGTCTTTGGGTTAATTTTAAGGATACGTCCATGGTATGAGTTATTGTTTGCGTTGGCTTGCAGTACTTGTAGGGAAAAGTGATTACTCAAACGAATCCGATATCTTGAGCATTGTTATTCTTGACGGCTAGTAGAGATTTGAACAAATCACCTTTATGGTTTAGAGCACTTATAAATTTGGTGATGGTGTTGGTTATCTGTTGAGTGTTGTGTTTGGTGCTGCTTAACTAGATGGAGAACTAGTGAAGGATGCCTGTAAAAGTTAATGGGGGGTTGGTTATGAGTTTGTTATATGCGTGCTTCCATGTGGTTTAGGGAGCTGCAATGGCCATTTTTTTTTTCATTCTTTTTACTACTTAAATCTTAAATAAGGGCAGTTCTTAGTTTCATCTTCTAGTTAGCAGGCATAACAACTCTCTGAAATTGATAATAAGTGTAACTTCCTCCACTGAGAACCACCTTGAATTGCTTGATCCTTGAATGTGCTTTGCCACGGTTCTGTAGAACAACCGTGAGACAGGGAAACTCAGTATATTTAGATGTGGTAAGCTCCGTCGGCCCAGTTTGATTAGTCACACATCAATCATTAACCATGTTTTCTGAGCTATTTGACCCAGTGATTAAATTATACAAATTCAATGGGTACTTTGACAGAAGTTAGGATAATAGATCTGTTTAAGTATCAACTGAATAGTGCAATTGAAAAATCATGTACTTTTAGAAGAAATGATTTATAATGATCAGTGATATATTCTTGTTCGATAATTGAACCTCTCAGGTATGAAGAGATGGCCTCCAAGTTCAAAGTGGAGTACATTGCTGGAGGTAGTTTATCTGCACTGTGTTCTTAGATTTTTCCAATTCGTTCTTGTGAAATCTCTCTCTATTATATATGCCCGCAATATATAATTGGCAAATGTATTTATTGTACTGCAGGTGCTACTCAAAATTCTATCAGAGTTGCCCAGGTGGGTAACAAATTATTGTTTATACATTGATAATCCATTTCAGCTCTAACAATTACCATGTGTATAATTATTCAAATTGCTATCGTGTAGTGGATGCTTCAAATTCCTGGCGCAACAAGTTACATGGGTTCCATCGGGAAGGACAAGTTTGGAGAGGAGATGAAGAAAAATGCAACACAAGCTGGTGTTAATGTAATTAATTTATTTGTTGGATTCCCTCCCGACAGCTATAGTAACTTTTTTAATTCTAATTATTTTTAAATTTTCTGCCTTGTTCCATGTGGTTGCTCTAGGTTCATTATTATGAGGACGACTCTCCTACTGGTACATGTGGTGTATGTGTGGTTGGTGGCGAAAGGTCTGCTTCTTTCAAGGATATCATTTCTTTGTAGCCTTTCACTTCTTTGGCTAACTAAGGCACACATCAATATTTTGCAGGTCCCTCGTTGCCAATTTATCAGCTGCAAATTGCTACAAACCTGATCACTTGAAGAAACCAGAAAACTGGGCTCTGGGTATGCTTTCCTTAATTTGTATTCACCATCCATATCATTAAATCCTATTAACTTATTTATCTTTTGACAGTGGAAAAGGCCAAATTCTACTACATTGCCGGATTTTTCCTCACAGTTTCTCCAGAGTCTATCTTGCATGTCGCTGAGCATGCAGTTGCTAACAACAAGGTAAAAGTTTTGATAATTAATTTATGGAATAAATATAGAAACCCAGTTATGTTTTGAATAATTAAGCATATTTAATTTTACGACTGCACTTCGGAAGGGAGTCATCGTAAGACAAACAAACACCTCAAGAGGCTTTTGTAATTATAGTAGATAAATGCACTTTTGAAGTAAAGTTGTTTCGAATGCTCTTTTTGTGTGGGCTATGATCCCTTGGTTCATTGCGTACGATAGATGTTGTAATAAATATCTAACAAATGCTGATTTACGTGTAGGTTTTCTTGACAAACCTTTCTGCTCCATTTATCTGCGAGTTCTTCAAGGATGTCCAAGATAAAGTATTCCCGTAAGTGTGAATTCTTTTATTTATTATGTATCATTGGAAACATACAAATGTTGATTGAAGACACGCCATATTTATTCCGGCTACAGGTACATGGACTATGTTTTTGGAAATGAAACTGAAGCAAGAGCTTTCTCCAAAGTTCACGGCTGGGAGGTAACGTGTTCTACTCCAAATTCTCTGATGTATTTATTACTAATCTATTATGAATTTTAACTTGCAACTCTTCCAAATGAACAGACAGATAATGTTGAGGAAATAGCTGTGAAAATTTCCCAGTTGCCGAAGGCATCCGGGACCCACAAGAGAATCACTGTAATTACACAGGGTGCAGACCCAGTTGTGGTTGCCGAGGATGGAAAGGTGAAGTTGTTGCCCATCATCCCATTACCAAAGGAGAAACTCGTTGATACCAATGGTGCAGGTTAGTGGTTTTCTTTATTTACATCTTCAAATGCCTTAACTTTTTCGCGGTTTTCTTTATTTACCCCTTCAAATGCCTTAACTTTTTCGCAATATTTTTTTAAATCCATCTGCATATATATAAGTTATGATAAGATATGAATTCACCCCTGTGGTTTTTCCGATTGGCCTTAATTCTAAAAGAAATAGGTGTTTGTGCGTGTATGTTTAAAGAAAGATAACTTGTATGTCTCATCAAAATGATTTTTTGATCAAACTTGCATTTTTTCCCTAATGCACGCGGGACATTTCGATTTTTTTAGGTGATGCATTTGTGGGTGGATTTTTGTCGCAATTGGTTGTGGGCAAGCCTATCGAGGAATGTGTGAGGGCAGGATGTTACGCAGCTAATGTTATTATTCAACGATCCGGTTGCACTTACCCGGAGAAGCCCGATTTCAAGTGAGCCACCCTCTGATTTTCCCTGAAATTTTCTTTGTTTTTTATTTAACTATGAACACTGAAAAACTCGCTTGCTTTCTTCTTCTTCTTCTTCTTTTTTTT